GGCAGCAGTTTGAAAAGGTGTTGAGCTGAGGAGCTCAGAGTCAAAGGTAATAATCACCAGCATCTACGTAGTACTTACCAGGGGCTGCACTCTTCTAAGTGCTTTGCCAATGTGAACTCATTTAATCCTTGCCACAACCCTACAGGTCAATACTATTACTGTCCCCACTTCACCAGTGAGGAAAAGGAGGCACAGAGAAGTGATGTGAATTGCTCAAGGTTGCACAGAGGCTGTCGTGTTTCTTGGACCACCTCCCCTGAGCTGCTCCAGGGAGAGTGGGGGTGAGAAGTAGAATTAGCTGATGGTGCTAGGGTAAAGTGGGGCTGCAGCTTCTACTGAAGGATTCTTTGAATTTTCACCCCAGACCTTATTTATTCATTTGTTTCTCTAAAAGGCTGATTTGGCCTGGGAAATAGAAGGTTGCATACAGTGAAACACAGCAGGCATGGTGATTATTGTATGGAGATCTTAAGAGAAATTAAGAACATGATACAATCAACAGCTTCTTGGTCATTTCTCTTCAAAATAATGAGTAATCTGCATTGGGTTGTTTTGGTTGTCTTCACAAGAAAAACAGGTTGTGCAGTACTATGATTCAGTTCTTGCTGATTGACCGAAAACATGGTTGTATAAAACAAGCTGACAGATGGGCAGGCCAGTTAGCTCATTTGGTTAGAGGGTGATGCTGATAACAACAAGGTCGAGGATTTGGATCACTGTACTGGCCAGCCACCAAAAACAAACAAAAAATAAAAAGGAAAAAACCAAACAAGGCAACAGAGAACAATTGTAGTTGAGGATCGTGTTAAGAGTGTCCTTGATCTTAGACGTAGTAATTCTATTAAAATGATACTGGTAAGAAGCACATAAGCTTGCACCGTTTTATCAGACAAAGCACTTTCTTCAAATACCCAGCCTTTGCACTTACACAAGTATGTTGCGCTGGTGTGCATATCTGAGAAATTACCTAGCCAGTTAGGTCCCCCCAAAAGTTACAAAATTTCTTTATATAATAAATAAATTTAAATAGTTATTATTCTGGGGCTTATATAGTTGTGTTGGATATGACTTTCAAACATTTGTTATTTCAAATAAAAAAAAAATTAGTTTTTGTATGAAATTTTGTTCAAGATTCATTCTTATGTTGTGTCTACACAATGCCAAGTGCTAGCATGAAATGTAACAGTCAGTCAGCCTCTTCAGATATTCTCAAATAGCTTGACATTTCGAAGAAACATGTCCAGGTAACTTATGGGCTGTATTTTTCAAACAGGGATAGGAAAATGGTGTCCTACCATGATGTATGGAAAAGTGAGTGTAGAATGCTCTAGAGTTTTTCAATTGGTTTATTAATTTGTTTACTTTCTTACTAATTTTATCTTTCCATTTAGAAACTAATTCCTATGAGTGGATGAAAAGACAGTTAACATTTTTTAAATCGAATCGGCAACAACATATATAGCTTGTGTTATAAATAAGTACAATCTTCTCTTCCAGAGGTGAGTTTAAAAATACATTTCTAGGGCTGGCCCGGTGGCGCACTCGGTTGAGTGCGGCGCTTGGGAGCGCGGCGGCGCTCCCGCTGAGGGTTCGGATCCCATGTAGAGACCGGTCCGCTCACTGGCTGAGCGCGGTGTGGGCACGACACCGAGGGGTGCGATCCCGTTGCCGGTCGTGGTAACCGGGCGCAACACCGAGGGTTGCGATCCTGTTACCGGTCAGGAAAAAAAAAAAAAAAACCATTTCTAGCAAATTTCTGCATTTCCATGAAATAATATTTTTAGAAAAATCTGTGATAATACTGAAGGAAATATGCAAAACTAAGTTTTCTTCTGCGTAAAAGACGTATTTTGGAAATAATCTAAGAATAGTCATTGTTCACTACATACTGTAAAAAGTAACATTATTCATGAAATAAAGTCTCAAAGTGCATTTGGGTAATGGAATCCAGACAAGTTCAGAGAGGGGCTAAATCATCTCATTGCCTGAGAATCTTCAAATCTTCTCAAAAGTAACTAGAAAATGGCAGATGCTTAATAAATATTGATAACTGAAAATAAGAATTCCTACTTTACTCTTTGTGATTGTAGTAATATTATTTTCCATACTGTCATCTTTGCCATGGAATACATATTTTGTTACACATTTTAATTTTAATTTGACTCTTAGGAAGAACTATTATTGTAAGAGCTACTGGAATACAAAAGGCATATTCAAGTATTCATATGAAATGTTCTAACAACCAAAAAGAATAAGAAAAATGCCGAAACAAAGTTGCTATTTTAAAGATGAATAATAGATGATTCATACTTGCAACCAGTATTATACATGTAAAATACTATTTCAGGTGAGCTATAGGAGGTGGGCATGTTCTGGCAAAAAAATTGCCACTCAACGGATGTTGAACTTATTTATTTAATTAAACTCCACAGGAAAAGGACACTTTTGCATAAGATTTAGGGACTTAACACCTGCAATGTCTTTTCAGAACTGCTAATTGTATTGGTTAGTCTTTTAAACATGTATCTTTAGAAATTAAGTACTATGGGCCAGCCCGTGGCTCACTCGGGAGAGTGCGGTGCTGATAACACCAAGGCCATGGGTTCGGATCCCATATAGGGATGGCCGGTTAGCTCACTGGGTGAGCGTGGTGCTGACAACACCAAGTCAAGGGTTAAGATCCCCTTACTGTTATATATAAAAAAAAAAAAAAAAAAGGAATTAAGTACTATCGTGAGTGAAAGACTTCCAAATAAGTTATTTAAATTATTGAGTGTAGTTTTCGGTTTTCATAGAATCTAATAATTTTAAATGGAAGTGATTTAAAAAGCCCACTCAGCAGAATCAGGATATGGGAAAGAAAAACACCCCCTCAAGTGTTACAAAGAGCAAGCAGAAAGCTTCAGAAACCTACAAAAAGGATAGTCATGTAAATAATAAAGTTCCAATAAAAATAAGAACCAGGAAAGAATTCTGAAAAGCGAGGGAATTCTGCAAAGGACTTTACAAAAAATCAGTCAAATTTCAAGAAGGTATAACAAAGTAAATCTCAAACTGTTGCTAAAGTGCTCAGCTAGCAGAATAAACCTATTTCAATTTCTTTCTTGCAGCTCACAATCCTTTTTATAGGCTGGGAAGCAAAAGCAGAAATCTTCAGAAGGTCTTGGGAAATGACACAAATTGGGTTAAATATGACTTTTGGGAAACCTAATCTGCTTCCACTAGATAAGATTTTCTATAATTGTTGCAAGTCAGATTAATTTGTGGACTGAATTGCACCACCTTCACTTTAGGGTGTTTGATGGATGTAATTAAAGCATGTAAATAATTTCAAGGTGACTTCTAGACCATCAATGTCTAATAGAACTTTCTTGCAGTGATGGAAATGTTCTATAGCTTCTTTGTCCAATATAGAAGCCACTAGACACCTGTGGCTATTGAGCACTTGAAATGTGGACAGTGTGTCTGATCAACTGAATTTTATTTTATTTATTATTGTTATTTTTAAAGACACTGATTTTCTTTCTTTTTTTTTTTTTTTTGGTTGCTGGCCGGTATGGGGAACCAAACCCTAGACCATGGTGTTACAAAGCTGTGCTCTAACCAACTGAACTAAATGGCCAGCCTCCACTGAATTTTAAATTGTACTTCATTTAATTAATTCAAATTTAAATAGCCTCAGGTGGTTCACGGCTACCGTATTGAACAGTGCAGTATAGATCCTCTCTATCCCTTTAAATGAAGGCTTCAGGCATCATTTTGCTACATATTCTAGGTATTCTGGGCTTAAATATTACCCACGGCTGCCAGATACCCCAGGGGCAGGATGAGCATATAACTGGTTGTCCAAACTGGGATACTTTGCAAAAGACAGGATCACTATTAACAATTATGATGAGACAAGAGGCATAATCCGGGGCTGTCTAGGTCAAGTAGAAGGTATGGTTTCCCCACCCGTAGAGTTTGTTGATTGAGAGTTCTACTGGGAAGTAACTGGGCTTTGCTTCGCTTCTTTTTAGCTTGATGTTACAGATAATGTTTAAGCATCTTCTGGAGTACACATATTTTCATCACACCATGATTTTCTTTGTACCCACAAACATTTACCAAAATCTCTTAACTAATTTCTTCTTTCCCAGTGACTCCCAGCCATAGAGTAAAGTAACATCTAACGTGATCCTAAATGACCAACTAAAGGCTGAAGTAAATAATGAATCACACTGGTATTTGAGATTAGACCAAGCATCTGAATAGCTAAATTGGTTTGGATATTTTAAGCTTTCCTCTGAATTTTTGGTAAGAGGCATAAAGATTCAAAAAGATCAGAGGTATTTTTTTTGCAACACTGTCACTCAGCATTCTCTGACAGATACAAATTTTCCCGAAGGGATTACACTGGGAAGGTTGTACATGCAGCAGTTCATTTAGTCCAGATCCTGAATTTTTGGGGGGGAAGTGGGGAGAAAGGTCCTGGAAATATAAATTTCAGTTGCTCTGGGTGCTCTCTTAGCTCTGTGCCATAAGTAGAGGAAGCATATTAAGATCAGCCTTTGTCACCAAGTCACTGCAGAGCACTTTAGGTTTCCCATTTGCAAGACTCAACCTGTTTTAAAATAACCCAGAGGGCTTTTTCTTTCATACAAAATGTAGAACATAGCTTGGAGCATCAAGTCATAACAATAATTTAAAAAATCCAATTGCGTCAATAAACTAAATGTCTTTAAAGCAACAAATACACATGACAAGCCAATTCTCGTGTCATCTCTCTGGCATGGTCTGGCTTTTCAAATCCCATCCACCGTTTATGACATACTTTGTGCTGAACACAAATAGAATTTTGTATTAAGAAAAAAAAATTCACAATAAGCATGTGGATGAATAGGAAAAGGGAAAGTAGTTATTTCAGGAGATTTACCTGCAGAAAAAAGAACTTAGCAACACAGTAATTCAAATAATCAGAGGTATGTCTCGGTACCATTTTGTTCAAGATCTTCACCAACCTGATAGCTCGAATAACAGTTTTAAGTGGCGGGGTGAGGTCTTCTACAGATACGTCACATTGGCATCCTTTTTCATCATATACATCATCAGTGCCAAGTGCTGTGTCAGCTGCAAGAGAAAATTGCCACTTAAATATCACCACCACCATGAGTGATTTAAAATATGTTGCTGAATTTGTCTCACATGGGAGTAGTGGGGTACTCACAGACTAAGCTATAAACCAAGATCTGTATAGGGATAGCCAACTGTCTTCCCAATATTATTCCTTCTCCTTTTTCTACAACCTCACCAGTTTTATGGGATTTGACATGAATACTTTTCTGAGCTGTTTTCCATGGGTCAGAAGAAGCTGTTGACACACTGTGTTTCCAGTAGTGCTGATGGATTTGTGTTGATCCACCTGTGCTCTTTTACCGAGTTTCTTGGAAACTGACAGCCAGCGTTTAAATGACAATTGTTTGGAGTTAGGAAAACAGTCTTTGGACACGTCAGTAACTGGCCTGTATATATAGAGCTCAAATCTCATGACACTGACCCCATTAGCCCTATGCCCTGAACAAGTGAGCTAAGCAGCCAGACCTGAGAATGCTGACCACTTACTAGTCACTGGACACAGGCAGCCCAGGAGACAGCTTGCTTAAGACAAGCTGTTTTAAGATAAAACAGCCAAATTTGAGAGCAGATTTTCTGACTGGATAAGAAAATCAGTTCCTTATAAATCAAGGAAATTTACTTTTGGGTTAATTACAACATTTGAAGGGTGTAAGGTTACAATAAATACCAAATTATTAAGGACTTATAAAATTAATAAGGAATAAACTAATATCATTGCATCTTGGTTTACAGTAACAAAATATTGAAAACAAATTAAAATTCCTGTGGGGGGGATAAATGAATGTTGGTAGGTTTATATAATTGACTATTCCAAAGCTGTTTAAAATGAGGTTGAAGACTAATGACTGGAAAAATGTCACAATATATTGTGAAAGAAAAAAGTCTATACATCTATGTGGGTTAAGGATGATTTTATTCTTTTTGCTTGGCTATATCTTCTAAAATTTCTACAATTAACATGTTTTACCTTAGTAATAAAAAAGTGAATAAAATAATAAAAATGCCCTCATGAGAAATGAGTTGCGTGGCCCCCAGACACCATTTTTATATAGTCCAAGCCTCTGTAAATGTTGCCATACACTAGAGGACTAACACTACTTCGTGTTGCCTTTGCTCTGTGCAGCGTTCATTCGCTAAGTCATGAAAGGGAGAGACTTTGCTATGGGTTGTCCTGGTTGGGTTGAAAATCCTGAAAGGCTGTTGGAGGTTCATTCATGGAGGCAGTGCTTCCATTTGGAAAGCAGTTGGTGTGCCATTTAATTCAACTAATATTTACCACGTGTTTACCCAGTTTGCTTTGTGCTGGAGTGGAGATGGTGGTGGTGGTGGTGGGGAAGAGATGATGGGATGCATGTAGATGGGTCTTCATGGCTCTTCTTCATGGTCTCTTTGGCCTTCTTGACCTCAAGCAAAGTAAGGGGGCAAGATAGAACTACCACCTCATGATAATGATAATAACAGTGCTATTGCTTGAATTTGTCACCCAAAATTCAAATGTTGAAACTTAATCACGAATGTGATAGTATTAAGAGGTGTGTCCTTTGGGAGGTGATTGTGTCATGAAGGCTCTTCCCTGATGAGTGGCATTAGCGACCTCATAAAAGGACTGGAGGAACTAGTGAGGCTTTCTTGCCCTTCCTTCCTTTCCAGCACGTGAGTGCACAGCATTGTTCCAGCCAGAGGATGCAGCAACAGGGTGCTATCTTAGAAGTGGAGATCAGGGGCTGAGCCCGTGGCGCACTCAGGAGAGTGCGGCGCTTGAGAGTGCAGCAGCGCTCCCGCTGTGGGTTCGGATGACCGGTGCGCTCACAGCGCTCACTGGCTGAGTGTGGTGCAGCTGGTCTCAAAAAGGACAAAAAAAAAAAAAAAAAAGCATTTATTTAGGGCCAGCCCATGGCTCACTGGCTGAGCGTGGTGCTGACAACACCAAGGCAAGGGTTGAGATCCCCTTACCGGTCATCTTTTTAAAAAAAAAAAAAAAAAAGAAGTGGAGATCAGGTCCCTCATCACACTGAACCTGTTGATGCCTTGATCTTGGATTTCCCAGCCTCCAGAAGTGTGAGAAATAAATTTCTGTTCTTTATAAATTACCTAGTCTCAAGCATCTTGTTATAGTGGCACAAATGGACTAAGACAAATAGCAACCACTCATTGAAATTTATGCCAGGGACTTAGGTGGAGCTTCTGCGTATATTAGTTTTCATACTTGGAGCAAGTATGAAAACTACAAGTTGGTGGTGGTATCATGTTGGTTTTCAGATGCAGAAATTGAGGCTCCAAGAAGGTAAGTACCTTGTCTGAGGCCACAAAGGTGGTAAGTGGAGGTAGTAAATTGCAGAGCATGATGTTAAAATCCAGTTCCCTTAGACTCCAGAGCCCATGCCCCTTACATTGCATTACCCAGTGTCAGAATGAATTCAGGGTCAAATAGTGACACAAAACATGTTGGGAGAGACAGGGCAAAGAGCTCACTACACGTGTTGCCTGATTGGTGCAGCCTGTCTCTGCTGGGTACATTCAACTTTTCTTCAGAGAAGTTTTGCCACAGTTTAAGTGAGAGTACATTGATTAACTCTGTCTCTGACAGCTGGTTCTGATTCAGCGATGCTCTTGAGTGTGGCTGACCCATTTTGCTTGATTGAGCACCCACACGATACAGCCATTTGAGCCCATAAACATCGTGCTTAAGGTTAGAGGACACTCTTCCAGGAATTGTTCAGTCTCTTCCTCTGAGTTGATCCCAACCTGCTCTTAGTTGCTGTTATGGGATGAATACTGTCACCCCCAAATTCATGTCCACCTGGAACATCAGAACATGACCTTATTTGAAATAAGGGTTTTGCAGATATAATTAATGTAAGGTGTGAGATTAGATCGTACTGGATTAAGGTGGACCCAGAATGCAGTGGGAGTGTCTTTATAAGGGACAGAAAAGGAGAAGACATAGGGACACAGAGAAGATGGAAACAGAGACTGAGTGATACATCTACAAGCCAAGGGACACCAAAGATTGGTTTCAACTACAAGAAGCAAAGAGAGAGGCATAGGATGGTTTCTCTTTCAGCGCCTTCAGAGAGAAGCAACCATGATGACACCTTGATTCCAGACTTCTAGACCCCTGAACTGTGAGACAATAAATTTCTGTTGTTTCAAGCCACCCAATTTGTGGCAATTTGTTGTGGCATCCCTAGGAAACTAATACAGTTGGGAAAACTTTTCTTTATAGTTTCTAATTCTTCACTCCAGAGCAGTAATGATCATGATAAGAATAGTGGAAGAGCTTTTTAGAGAAATCTAATTATGTGCCAAGAACTTTAGTTAATTGCTACAAAACCAATAAGATATGTATTATTATTATTAACCCCTGTTATGAAAGTAAGGCACAGAAGGATAAGAAACTTGCCCGAAGATACCAGGAGAGCAAGTGACAGAACCAGGATGTATACCCAGGCAATTGGGTTCTGGAGCTGCCCAACCCTGAGCCTCACCTCTAAGCCTTTCCAGATTTGCCCTTCTGTCTCTCTTGCTGGCATCTGGATACCCTTCCCATGTATTACATTTTCCTTCACATGGCTGTGTGCATCTGGCATAGTGTGACTCCACAACATTAAGAGAGGATCCGATTTGGAGCAGTGTGGCTACCATAGACATGTGCTGAGCTAGTTCACACCTCAAAGGAGCCTTGGAAATACACATACCCTGGAACTTCAAGGAGGGTGTGTGTGGGGTGGAGGAGGAGGGCAGGTAGAGGAGAGATCACATACAGGCTGGGTGGCTGACAGAGCCATTATGGAACTCTGTGAGGTGCCCAGATGTTAGTTCCTGTTGTGGATTGATCGAATTGTGGTCCCCAAAGTTCATATATTAGAAGCTTAATTCCCCACTGTAACTGTTGAGGGTGGGAAATCCTATTACAGTAATTGAAAGGTGGGGCCTTGAAGAGGTGATTGGATTGTAGGACCATGGCATAGTGAATGGATTAATAGTGGTGGTCAGAGGTGTGGTTCTGAAGGCTTTAAAAGTAGAGCATGCGAGAGTCTCTCTCTGTCTCTGCTCCACCATTTTCTGCCACATGAGACTCCTGCATTGCTGTAAAGCCACCACCAAAGAAGACCCTCATCAGATGTGCTCCCTGGACTTTGGACTTCCCAGCCTCAGAAGCTGTAATCAATAAATTTCATTTTCTTATAAATCACCCAGTTCCATGTATTTTGTTATAAGCAACAGAAACGGACAAATACAGTTCCCCAAAGGAAATATCAAATGACACACTTTATCAGGATTCCCAGTACAGAATTCACGACAGTGTTTTATGCTGCCCTTCAAAATAGAGGCATGTGACTGCTTTCCCTCATCTGAACTCTAGTGACAGGTACTTCTAACATGGTCCCATCTTATACATCAGAAAATTGGGAAAAACTGGAGAGGTTACCGACAGTGTTTTATGCTGCCCTTCAAAATAGAGGCATGTGACTGCTTTCCCTCATCTGAACTCTAGTGAGAGGTACTTCTAACATGGTCCCATCTTATACATCAGAAAATTGGGAAAAACTGGAGAGGTTACAGGGAAGATGGATACTCAATGCCTATATTAATAACTTCTCTACTATACAGTACAATGAACCATAACATGATGATAAGGGTCCAAACAATTAAACAGCATGAAATATAGGGTCCTTTAATTGTGAGGTTAATGGAAAACTATTTTTTTTCAGCAGATGTGTACCATCACAATAAGCAAAAAACCCAAAAAACAAAAAACAAAACAAAACAGTGATGGGGCAGGCCAGTTAGCTCAGTTGGTTGGAGTGTGGTGTTGTAACGCCACGGTCAAGTGTTTGGATCTCTGTGCTAAAGACAGTGAAACTATGATGTTCACAACCGTCTATGAATAGAACTGGGAACATCCCAAGTGATTAGAAGACACTAACCTCCTAGACTAATGCTCCATCCCCTTATCCCCATCCTGTACCCCAATAAGAGATTCAGACTAT